TAGTAATCTTCCTCATCCAGACTCTTAATGTTATTTTCGTGGGGCATCTTGATTCCTTCAGTTCTCACTATTTTTCCTTGTTTGATAGTAAGTGTGGCACACTTGTCCAAGCCAAACTCCATTGCAATATCTTGGCTATATATACGGACAGTGTTGAGCAGCGATTCTATTTCAGATGATGTTTTTCCATACAGCTTCATATCATCCATGTAAAGGAGGTGGGATAGTCTGGCAGATGTTTTTGATGTTTGATAGCCATGTCATTATTATTATTATTATTATTTTTTATTATTATTATTATTATTATTATTATCTGTAGCTTGGGTGCAGGATGAGGGCAGTGTGTTCGCCGAGCTTGTAGGTTGGTTTCCGAACGTTTTGTCACCAGGCTAGGCAACATCTTCAGCGGAGTTTAGGGGATGTCCGTTTCAGTGTTTTGTTTATAGGGGCTTCAGGTGTAGGTGTGTCAAGTGAGGGTCTTATGATGGGATAGATATAAGTCATCATGGAGAGGCTTGTGATGGGTCTTATGATAGGGTGGTTACGTCAGGTCAAGGTCATTGGGAGGTGAACTGGTGGGAGTTGGGGGGCATCACAAGACCCTCACTTGACACCCACACCTGAAGCCCTTAAAACAGAAGAACACTGATACTGACATCCTCTAAACTCTGTTAGCCAGTCCTAGCCTGGTAACAAAACGTTCGGAAACCAACCCACAAGCTCAAAGAACGAACCTTCAGCCTCATAGGATTGTTTCTTACGGGGACATCATAAGCCTTTTGCTGAAATGCTAGAAAGAATCCCCTCCTCATTTCCTTCCGCAAACAGGGAAAGGATTGGGGTCAGTGATAGTTAGGGATTCTAAGGCCCATCTGCAAGTTGATTCTCTCCAGATAATGATGATGATGATGATAATAATAATAATAATAATAATAATATAATAATAATAATAATAATAATAATAATAATAATAATAATAATAATAATAATAATAATAATAATAATAATAATAATAATAATAAAGTTGGAAGGGACCTTGGGGGTCATCTAGTCCAACCCCCTGCTCAGGCAGGAAACCCTATACCATTTCAGACAAATGGCTGTCCAGTCTTTTCTTAAAAACTTCCAGTGTTGGAGCATTCACTACTTTTGGAGGCAGGTTGTTCCACTGGTTAATTGTTCTGTCAGGAAGTTTCTCCTTAGTTCTAGGTTGCTTCTCTCCTTGATTAGTTTCCATCCGTTGCTTCTTGTCCTGCCTTCAGCCGCCTTGGAAAATAGCTTGACTCCCTCTTCTTTGTGGCAGCCCCTGAGATATTGGAACACTGCTATCATGTCCCCCCTCGTCCTTCTCTTCATAAACTAGACACATCCAATTCCAGCAACCGTTCCTTATATGTTTTAGCCTCCAGTCCCCTAATCATCTTTGTTGCTCTTCTCTGTACTCTTTCTATAGTCTCAACATCATGGGAGTCTTTTGATAATGGATAGATGGATGGATGGATGGATGGATGGATAGATCAATAGATATGGAAGTGAGGTTACTTTCACTGAATGGCACTGAAAGTCTTGCAGAATCAACCAAATTGATAAAATTCTGCCCAAAATTATTTTTTCAGTCAAAGGTTGTTGGCTCCTTCTATGTTCTCACATAAACCCTGGAATCCTATCAAGCACAGACATTTAACTTAGTACATGCCTTTGCTTTGGGAATTTGGGAACAATAGAACAGATCTTACAAATCCTTCTGGGCTTGTTCTGTTCTCTTTTTCTTTGTTCAGGAGGATCTCGCGGCCTTCAAGGAGGTGGCTGTGTATTTCTCCGAGGAGGAGTGGTCTCAGCTGGATCCTGACCAAAAAGCGCTGCATTGGGAAGTCATGCTGGAAAATTATAGGAACGTGACCTCTCTGGGTAAGAGTGTGGTACTCACCAGAGAGTTTGAGAAAACATCCTTTAATTAGATGCCGTCGGCTGTTTCTTATTTAAAAAAATCCCCATCCAAGTGTCATCTCCTGGGAGGGAGAAGGATTAGGTCAATGTGTTGATGCTTTGATACATCTTTTGTTATTTCTCATCTGGCGAATTTTTCCATTTCCGTTTCAAGAGTGACAAACTAACTCCTTAGCTTGAGGAGATGCTCAGTTCCATCACACTGACTCCAGCTTTTTGGTCCCAGATGCTTTCCCATCTGTGCTAGGATTGTCACTGATACAGGCTCTTGGATTAATGACTAAATCGATTTACTGTTTTTTGAGGTTTCTAGTGGAATCGGCTTCTTCTTCTTCTTCTTGTGCCATATCCGTTATCGGATGTTGGCGATCCTGTTTTTATCAGCAGCCGCACGAAAAAGAGGTGCTGCGTTTTGTCCAAACCAGTCCCTTAGGTTTTGAAGCCATGATGTTCTTCTACTGCCTGGACCTCATTTGCCTTCAATCTTTCCCTGGAGGATTAAATGGACCATGCCGTATTTTTCTGGGTGTCGTATCACATGTCCGAAATATTCTAATTTTCATTTTTTCATTGTTTTGATGATTTCCCTTGGCTTTCCCAGGCGGCTTATCTCCTCCTCATTTCTGATCTTGTCAACCCAGCTTTGTGGAACCGTCCAATAAATGCTAGGTTTTCTCCCAATATCTCCTTGAACGTTTCCCTGTTTGTTCCTTAACTGAGAGCAGATTCTGCTTGAGATTTCAATATGTTCAGATAATTCTGAACAAAAAAAGATGCTTTAGATACTAATCATGTCCATACTATGCCACTGTAAGTATGCCACTGTGCAATAAACCCTTCTTGAGGGGGGATGGGCAATCTTGAAACATGAAAAGTAAACAAATAAATTAAAAAAAAAACCCAGTGTTGTCGAGTTTGGGTAATGAAATGTCTGCAAGAAAACAACCAAGCACAGAGAGCACCAAAGGACACCTCAGTGGAACAACCAGTGGAACAACCTGCCTCCAGAAGCGGTGAATGCTCCAACACTGGAAGTTTTTAAGAAGAGACTGGACAGCTATTTGTCCAAAATGATATAGGGTTTCCTGCCTGAGCAGGGGGTTGGACTAGATGACCTCCAAGGTCCCTTCCAACATCATCATCATCATTTCAACCCTGATCTATAAATATTCTCCTTTATTGATAGAGAAATTGGTATTTATGTGAAGCCGCTGGGGGAGATCATTCGTGGCTTTGGGGTGGATTTCCATCAGTACGCTGACGACACTCAGCTGTACATCTCCACCCCAGGCCACCCCAACGATGCCCTTGACGTGATGGCCCGCTGCCTGGAGGCCGTACGGGTCTGGATGGGGAGGAACAGACTCAGGCTCAACCCTTCCAAGACCGAGTGG